AGAGTTTAATTAATCCTAAACATTCTGATAAAATAATCCTAAATAAGAGAACTGGCAACTTGCCCCTGCACTGCGGGACCCCAAAAAATGTACATTTCTAACCAGTCCTCATTTAGTACCCCTTTCTCCACATGGGTGATGTTGACACTTGGATTCTGGGAAGGAATGGTAGAAGCGACCCTACGGCTATTATATAATGTGTTCACAAAATCAACAACTTGAAGCCACTGATGCAACAGAAATGTGCAATTATTGTCCTACTAAACTGGCACATAGACTTGCCTACTGTACCATAGAACTTAATGGGCCAGATTCTGCTCTCATTTATATAGATGTAAATCAGGAGTAACACCATTAAAGCCCACCTGGACCAAAGAGAATGAGAAGCTTAGCATCTAGTAATGACTTAGGCTCTTATTCACTTGTTCTGTGCTCAGTAGAGAGATGAGGCAGAAAGGGTGTATTTTTCATCAGTTTAAATATAAAAATAGTCACATCCTGTTTGTTTTGTGAACTATTCTTTATTAACCTCTGAAAACAGCCCACAGGTCTCATGACAGGGTGGGGAATGTCTCCAGCTTCGGTTACAGACTGATATGAAAATCTAGCAAGTGACTAAATCAGCAAGACCTCTGACTAATGCAGTGTGCATATCCAAGAGAACCAAGAGAGGAGAAGAAATTCAGACTGATACGAGCCTCACAGCGCAGAATGTAGCATTCCTTGTCTGTGTAGACTGTGTCTGCTTGTTAAGGCGATAAATAGATTAACCTGTTTGTGGCTGGGTGGCAATGGGCTGCTTCAATGGTGTGACTCTGGTTATAAAAAGGTAAGGAGGAAATAAAGGAAAGGGGCATAAGAGAGAAACAAGAGCAGTATGAGCTTAGATTACTGCAGAGATGGGAGCTGCAGAAATAGCAGGGTTCAGGCTATAACAGCCCTCCAAACAATATGGCTAATCTCCTCCAATCACAAGACTTCTACTACCACCTCTTTGCTGATGGCCTGAATTTTCCCTCCATACTCCTGACCTTTTGCCCTCCATCCAGTCTCTCTCTCTCTCTCCCCAGTATCTCATCTTGCCGCTGGATGACATGCAGCTCCTCATCTTTCCTTCTTGGCCCCTTCTTCCCTGCTGTCCTGCTGTTGACAATTCCACAATCCTTCCTGCAGAGCGGGGCAGCAATCTTGGGGTTATCTCTGACTCCTTCCACTTCCTCCCCCCCCCCGATTGTTGCTGTCAGTAAATCTTGCCAGTTTTAACTCTACAACATCCCCCAGATCTGGTCATTCCTCCTGCTAAGACTCTGGTCACCTCTTACCCTGATTACTACAGCCACCTCTTCTTGGGCTTCCTTGGCACTCACTCCAGCCCAGAAAGCCACTGTGGTTCTAAGTAAGTACTTATATGGCCCCCATTACCATAGTGTCTGCACCTCATTATTTTTAAATGTATTTATCCTCACAACACCCCTGTGAGGTAGGCCAGTGCTATTATCCCCATTTAACAGTTGGGGAACTATGGCACAGAGAGACTAAGTGACTTGCCCAAGGTTACACCAGAAATCTGTGGTAGGGAGGGGAATTGAACCCTGGTGTCCCGAGTCCCAAGTTAGATTCCTAACCACATCATCCTTCCTCCCAAAACTCTTCACTCTGACTAAATCTAGCTGTTTTTCACATCCCTGCACTGGCTTTCCCCCTCTCGCTCCCTATGAAATTCATGCTCCTCCTCACCTCCAGGAACTTACACAACCAGCTCTCCATCCCCCTCTCCATTCTTGTCTCCTCTGACTTTTCTCCTTGATGACTTCACTCTGTCAAGCTGATGCCCCTTTCGTGTTTTCCCTCCACTCCCACCTTTGTGCCTTCTTCAGTGCTGCCTCCTGTGCCCGAAACTCCCTTTTCAATGTTATGTTCACAGCACACAAACAGAGAAGTTAGATACAAACATATAAATCCCTTATACTGGAGGGTTGCAACATAACACTACTTTTTTTCTTCAAATCCAGAACCCTGACCACAAGTACCAAAGAGAGAGAGAGAGGCAAAGCAGGCTGCTTCTGAAGGCAGCAATGCACAAATCACCTCACCTTGCTCTAGTCTGGCTCTTTGCAGACTGATTCGGATCACATGCTTCTCTACAGGGCTCCCTAGCTTGCAAGTAGGACCAGGAAACCCCTTACACTTGATAGCTCGTAATATTTAACACCGTTTTCAATACACCACATCCATCCCAGGTCTCCATATTTACATATTCTCCTCCTCAAAACCCATCCTGAAGACTCGCTTTGTGAAACTCTTTGCTACTCATTCACACTGCTTTTAGTGTCCTGCTTTCCTCTTTCCTGCATTTGTACATTCTTCACTTAGTTTATGAGCTCTTTGGGTTGAGGATTTCATCTGTAAAGGGGTTTCCCCACTGACACTGCCATACAAATAATAATTATTAACACCAAGCCTAACCTGAGAATCAGTGATCATATTTGTCTTGGAAAGGAAGCCATCCCAGAGTGAGGCTATGTTTAGGCAGAAGCGGGTCACTTTTCTTTGTTACAGCTCCATCATTTAACATTGTATTTTTAAGGACAAATTATCTGCTGGCATAAATGGGTACAACTCCACTGCCATTGACACCAGCAGAGAATCTGGCCCAATGTGTATGTATTCTTGAAATGATCCAAAATATACAATTTGTCTTTAAATCAAATGCAACTGAGGGTGTTGTAGAAAAAATAATAGTGAGGTTTTTTTTCATGTGAGTGCAGTAAGCCATTGGACCTGATCAAATATTTTGGAAACCATTTCTCTCTGTTCTTTATGGCTCATGTTTCCCTCATGCTCGTCTCCCATATTAGTTTTAAGAGTGGTTACAATCATAGCTCAAGGTAGTAGAACTATCAATGCCTGACGTAGGAAGAGAGAAAGATACTATTGTGGAAAGGTGTGTCCATTTTGCTGCCTCTTGTGGGAGATCTTTAATCTACTGGATTGTAGTTAGAAAGCCTTGTTTATATTTCCAGGGTGATAATGAAGATTCCTCTTGTAATGATCAGCAGGGTTGTATGTTAATATCTTGCACAGTGTTTACGGTGTTCTAGCCAAGGGGAGCGTTGGGAGGGATTTATGGCCACAGAGTCCCAATTCTTCTGCTTTTAGTTGTCATGAGATTAAGATCTAAATTGTATTAAGAAGAAAAGAGTGGTATTTTTGAAGCCAGAGGTTGGGAGAATGATACATATATTGATGCATTTGACCTTTATTGAAGACTGATTCTGCAGGCTTCCAAGAGCATTTAGCAGATCTCCATTCAAGATCCCGACAGAATACTCTTTGTTGGCAGCTCTGGATTAAGTGGATCAGTCACTTACATTTCCCCCCTTTATTACTTATTGTGAAAAGAGTTGGCTTGACAGCCTTGAAGATGAAAGTTCTCTGTTTATCTATACGACATTCACAACCCCGGTGGGAGAAATGAATTTTTCCCTTATCCCCACGCTGAGATCCAACCCTGTGCTGGAGGGATCCGATGCAGAATGCAATGGTAGCCTCATCTCCATACTCTTGCAACCTATTAATTCTCTCTTGAGATTTCCCACAAAACTGCTAATTCTAATGCTGGTTCCTCTGATGCATTCACCTGTCCAATAAAAAGTGAGGTGTGGGCCAACAACTCATTTCACAAAGGCCTCAGAACAACCATTGGGGAAGACCAATACCTTGGTTAAATTCAGATCAGTGGTCTAAATATGAAAGAATCCCTGGTGATTCAGAGCCTAACAAACTGGGCCAAATCCAGTTCCTTTATCACATGTATATGAACATTTTTTAAAATAAAAACAAAACACTTGAAAAAGTAAAACATGGCAAGCTGGGCCTCACAGCTGAAATGCAGGAGCAATAAGAACAACCCACTGGCCTCTGCTTGGTATAAAAGATGATGGGAACAGACACTGGTTTTTTAATGTTAGAAAAGATGGTAATGAAGACCCACATGCATTGTATGGGCAAAGCATTCCTGTGATGGTGTTACACATCACTCTGTCATCCTAATTTATTTTCTCCGTCCAACAGTATAATCGTTCTTTGTGTTTCCTATGGGATGCGAAGACTAAATATGAGTTTGTCAATGGATTCATTGTTGGTTTCTCCGAGTATTACAGTGCAAATGCACAAATAAGAAGGACAGGAGGAGAGCATCTCACTGAATAAGGATATTGTATCTTGTGTTAGTCAAGAGAGAAACCTTGGAAAGGAAAGCCTATATCAAAAGTGCTTATCAAGCTGTTTGCATACTTGAATTCTTAGGAAAATAGCAATTTTTATATCTTTCCCCGTGGAATCCTAAACACAGTAGAAGTAGAGAGCGTGTTTTGGAAATAATCCCCACCAACATCAAGTTTGGACACCTGTTTATTTTTAGGTTACCATCCAATCCTTCTTATAGCTGAAGATGGGTACATGATGCCCATTTGAAAATGTTGCCAATAAACCAATAAAAACTGATGCCAACTATTATTTTCATGCCAGATGCTCTATAACTTCTTAGTAGAAACTAGGCGGTGCCTGAAAGTTATCATGTTTGCAATGTTTTTTCTATGGAAATGTTGGAGAACTCTTTTGGCTTTGTCTAATGCACAGAAGTTTTACCAATTAAACTAAAATTGTTTCTTGAACTGGTTTAGCTAAACTGGTACAAGTCCCCATGGGGAAACCCTTAATTTCATTGACACTTGGCTTATCTGAATTAAGCTACAAGAGAGTCAGCTGGTGTGTGTCCACATAGGGGTTTGCACTGGTTTAATTAAATTCAGTTTAAGAACTGCTTTTAGTTAAGTGGTGTGCAGATAAATCCTTTGTCTTTGCCTGAGGCTGGTGGAGAGTTAGATTTGAGGTAGTATTGATACAGTTTTGATCTTCCTAGGTATTTTCTTCCTCTCATTTAAAAAACTCGGTTAAAAATACTTAAAAAGTGTGTTTTTTACTTATTGTTTCAACAGGGCCCAGCTCGTATGACTCCTGATCTTGCTTCCTCTCCTGTGGCAGGATATGTCCCTGTGGGTCAGAAACCGGAGGCTGTGGTGCATGCTATGAAGGTAGGTCTGCATTCAACCCATATGTCGCATTGCTCCTGCATACAACAACTGTAGAAACATCATCTGGCATTTTCTCTAATGATGGAATCATAGTAATCAGAGATGGAAGAGAACTATTCAGCCAGATTATTACTGACCAGCAGTCATGCCACGTCAAGCAGTTACCTTGTCAACCAGCTAAGCAAGTTCAAGTGTGGCCAGCTTATGGTTGGGAGACCTGCAAGGAAAAGTCACAATACTACAAGCTGGTTACCTTTTGAGTTTCTCCGTTCTGACTGAACCACTGCCCCAAGGTGGCTTTAGGAGCATTGGGTGCCACTTCAGAATGAGATACATACCAAAGGTCTTATACACTTTTGGTCATTGAAAATCCTGTGGCAGTTCTCATAAGAGTAGGGAGCATTTTATGTAATTCTGTAACAAACCGTGGCTTCATACACACGTAGACACCTGATTTGTCTCTGGGGGTCGAAACTAGGACCCTACCACTTGAGGTAAAGGAGAACTTTTGACTTGGTAGCAAGTGGTAAAGTCACAAGGGCCAGCCTCTACAAGGAGAAATTCACTTGACATGTACTAGGCTGGTGTAGTACATGTTTCCCCTTGTCCTGAGTATCTAAGATCCATAGAAATTGCAGTCTGGTGGTGTCATTGTATAATGAACCATGGCTACATACACACAGATCACATAGCTGTCTGTGGGGATCAGGACCAGGGCCTCCAGCACTAAAAAACTAAAAGGCCTTTAACATTTGAGCAGGCTGTGTAGTTGCTGGTACCACCAACAGAGGGAGACATGACCACTCACACTACAATCCCATTCTGCCTATATGTATTTCTCCTGTAGTTTCTGGATAAGGTGACATTCTTTGTTTCCTGACCTAAATGGCTCTGTGCTGTTGACAGATCATAGAACCATAGAAGATTAGGGTTGGAAGAGACCTCAGGAGGTCATCTAATCCAACCCCCTGCTCAAAGCAAGACCAACCCCAACTAAATCGTCCCAGCCAGGGCTTTGTCAAGCCAGGCCTTAAAAACCTCTAAGGATGGAAGTTCCATCACCTCCCTAGGTAACCCATTCCAGTGCTTCACCACCCTCCTAGTGAAATAGTTTTTCCTAATATCCAACCTAGACCTCCCTCACTGCAACTTGAGACCATTGCTCCTTGTTCTGTCATCTGCCACCACTGAGAACAGCCTAGCTCCATCCTCTTGAGAACCCCACCTTCAGGTAGTTGAAGGCTGCTATCAAATCCCCCCCTCACTCTTCTCTTCTGCAGACTAAATAAGCCCAGTTCCCTCAGCCTCTCCTTATAAGTCATGTGCCCCAGCCCACTAATCATTTTTGTTGCCCTCCGCTGGACTCTCTCCAATTTGACCACATCCTTTCTGTAGTGGGGGCTCCAAAACTGGATGCAGTACTCCAGATGTGGCCTCACCAGTGCCGAATAGAGGGGAATAATCACACTGTTAACTCATATCCAGCTTCTCGTCTACTGTAATCCCCAGGTCCTTTTCTGCAGAATTGCCACTTAGCCAGTCGGTCCCCAGCCTGTAGCAGCGCATGGGATTCGTCCGTCCTAAGTGCAGGACTCCGCACTTGTCCTTGTTGAACCTCATCAGATTTCTTTTGGCCCAAACCTCCAATTTGTCTAGGTCACTCTGGACCCTATCCCTACCCTCCAGCATATCTACCTCTCCCCCGAGTTTAGTGTAATCCGTGAATTTGCTGAGGGTGCAATCCATCCCATCATCCAGATCATTAATGAAGATGTTGAACAAAACTAGCCCCAGACCAACCCCTGGGGCACTCTGCTTGATACCGGCTGCCAGCTAGACATCAAGCTATTGATTACTACCTGTTGAGCCCGACGATCTAGCCAGCTTTCTATCCACCTTATAGTCCATTCATCCAATCCATACTTCTTTAACTTGCTGGCAAGAATACTGTGGGAGACCATATTAAAAGCTTTGCTAAAGTCAAGGTATATCACATCCACTGCTTTCCTCATATCCACAGAGCCAGTTATCTCATCATAGAAGGAAATCAGGTTGGTCAGGCATGACTTGCAGATGGTGAATCTATGTTGACTGTTCCTGATCACCTTCCTCTCCTCCAAGTGCTTCAAAATGGATTCCTTGGGGACAGTTGCCAGGCTCCACCCTAAACTATACCTGCATTTCATCTGTGGATGAAATTATTCCTTGTGTGTGTGTGTGTGTGTGTGTGTGTGTGTGTGTGTGTGTGTGTGTGTGTGTGTGTGTGTGTGTGTGTGTGAGAGAGAGAGAGAGAGAGAGAGAGAGATACAAACACCATGGGTCAGATTTCTAGATAGTGTGCACTGATTTATAGCAGCTGAGGATTTAGTCCGGTGGTTGTGTGCAGGTTTATTTGTAAGCTTCTTTGGGGTCAGATCCACAGCTGGTGTAAATCAGTGTAGCTCCATTCATTGAGGTGAAAGGCATGTGCCATATTATATGTTACAGAACCATGTGATAAATGAATTTAACATGCACCTTTGACCTCCTTACCTGCCCACTGTTCATCAATCCAGCTCTGCTAGGGGGAATGTAATTTAAATTTAAATGGAAGTAATAGAAAATATAGTAACTATTCTCCCTTTGAGACTCATGTATCTGAAAGATCGCTGACTGATAGAATCAGATATGGAAGTTTTAATTAATCTACCCCAAAGTTGCCCTGGACATTTAACTTGTGGATACAGCCAGAGTTTGCTTTATAGCAAGATATTTCTGGTGGTCTGCACTGGGATTTGATTGTACAGGTTGTGTTGCTTTCACAGCTGAGAGTCGGAGGCGTACTGATTCCAAACAAGCTTGTTCAAAGTGCGAGTCCAGCTGGATCTATAATTAATCAATTCCTTCCTTTTTAATAGAAAAATAGACATTTTATTTGTCAGGGCTGGTATGTCTTTCACATGCTCCATTAAAAAGGTGAATCTAGGTAAAGTTAATGTTTGTGCACAAATTCCACTGGTCCCAGATATATTGGTTAAACTAGTGGTTGGTACATTTTAAAAAGTAGGTTAAGGGCCCTAAGAGAATGACCTAGTTTTATAACTGAAACATTTAGCATACAGCAGGATTTCTGTGCTTGAACAAACCAATGAATAATCTAGGCTAGTATCCTGTTTCTAGCTGTGGTCAGTGCTGGATGCTTCAAGAGTGAAATCCATCCTTGTAATGAATCTAATCCTGTAGTTCATTTGCATGCTTACACTTGTGCACACACAAATATACCTGCTGTAAGGGTGTATGTGTTGTATGTGTATTCCTTTAGCATAAAAAAGAGGCAACATGGTGAGTGGTTTAAAAATGGTATTTCCAGGAGTCTGAGGTGACCACGTTATGCGTGAGTAACAAAGCCATGAATGAGTTATGTAGGTCATCCCAAACACATGTCAGTAAAATGACTATTTAGTGTCCTACCATGCTGTGCTTTTATTCATGCAACAGATTTGACAGAAAAAGCTATTTTAAAAATGTTTTAGAAGGTTTTTAATATATTGGTGCTATTTTTCTGTGTCTCCACCTATAAAGGCAGGTGGCTTTAATACCATGAACCCTACTGTCTGGACATCAGAAAAAAGGAAAAACTCTTTTTAGCAACCTCTAAGCATTATCTAAAATCAGGTTTTTATACATAAAAATAATGCGATTTTAACAAGACATTGTCAACTGAACAGGAGGCAGTGAGTCAAGAAAATGAGTTACAAGTAACTTCAGATATTCCACTTCTCCCTGAGCCCCCTGCCAATTTTTGTGCTTTTACAATCACATTTTCCTATTTGATCGTTCTTTCCCTTGTTGCTGTGTAAAAGACCCACCGGCACAGTAGGAGAAAATGAATGGCTAAGGCCTCCAGTCCTGCAAATGTTTACAGGTGGGAGTAACTGCATAAGTATCACGGCCCAACTGACTGTTACGAGAGAGAATTAAACTGATTACATTCACACACACACAAAAAAAAAATTAATGGAGATGTCCTATCTCCTAGAACTGGAAGGGACCAGGATCATCGAGTCCAGCCCCCTGCCTTTGCTAGCAGGACCAAGTATTGATTTTGCCCCAGATCCCTAAGTGGCCCCCTTAAGGATTGGGCTCACAACCCTGGGTTTAGCAGGCCAATGCTCAAACCACTGAGCTATCCCTCCCCCCCTGTGGGAGGAGACAGTCCCTGCCTTAAGGAGTTTACATTGGAAGGCCTGGTCCACTCCTGCCCAAAGGTTTTTTTTGTACCAATTTAACTTTTTTAGTTAGGGGTGTGATTTGTTTACAGGTATAGTTACAGCAGTACAACCCTTAATATGGATGCAGGTATAACGGAGGCTTATACCAGTATAGTTTATTCATGTACGTTCACGGGACTAAGCTATATTGATATGAGCATCTTTACCTGGTAGAACTGCATTCACGCTGCTTTAACTATACCGGTTTCAAACCAACATAGGTAAAGTGGGCGTAGACAAGTGCTAAAGCTCTGCTCCTGTCCCTGATAGTCCATGGCTTGAGTGCTGCACCCATTGAAGGGAATGCATCTCTTTGTGGGAGCAGCAGTTTATAGGATTGGGGATGTGGCAGGCCACGTCATTTTAAATACTAGCTAGTGTTCTTGCAGAAGATGTAATTGATCTTTGAGAAGTATAATACTTTGGCAATCTGTTTGTTTGTAGGTCCTTGAAGTCCATGAAAATTTGGACAGGCAAATGCAAGATAACTATGAAGAAGACCTGAGTGAAAAGGAGAAAGCAATTGTTCGTGAAATGTGCAATGTAATAACTCTTTATTTGTAGTATTTTATATAGTGTTATTTTGGTCCTAATGTTTTGTAGCATCTGTTCTGTGTGTGAGCCTTGTTTGAAACCCACAGAGAAATTCAGTCATAAGAAAAAGTTAATTGAAGCTCTGATAAATTCTGAATGGGCAGGAGCCAAATGTCAAATACCTGAACATTTAATTTGATGCATTTGCACAGAAGAAACCTAGGGCTGAGCTGTCTTAAAGGATACAGACACCACCTGCCCCACTCATTTCCTGGGAGAGAGTGGCTTATCCTATTAGGGCTGATTGACAGTTATGCAACTGTCTTTACCTGGCTAGGAGGTTTCAGTTTTCAGCCCTGTGTACTGATCTTGATTTGTAAGCAGAGGTCCCCTGGATGTCCCTGAGAATTATATGGTCAATTAAAAGCATAGGTTGGTCCTTTTGCCTTAATTTATATGTTTTAGTGTATTTAAAGTCATAGAAATTGAGTGACCGTAATCTGATGTCAGAATTGGAATCCTCTTGTTTGAATCCAGTAGGGGTGATTGCATGTGATTTTTGGCACCCGCTAACATGTTTGGCCTAGCAACCACATTGTATACGGAGGTTGCCACATATTGTAAACTGAGCATTTATGCCAGAACTTTGCTCTGGCTGAGGTGTGGCTGCTTGCTACTGCTGCTCTACTACCTTTTATTCCAGGCAGAATGATCTAATAAGAAAAATGACTTGGGTACACACTGCGGATGAAAAGTGAGCTTTGTATTGCTGTTAAAACATTGCTCAAGCTGAGAGTCACGTGTTTTGGAGGATTTTCTGCTTGACAGTGCAGTGTTTCCCAGAGCAGGGACCCCTGTGGAGTATTCTCTTTGAAATCCATATTGCAAGTCAGAATATCAGTGGGGCCTTTTCCGTGCACGAGAATTGCAGAGGAAGCAAAACTCTGCAACATTTTTGAATATGTTGGTGACGGTGTGTTTCAAAACCACTGGAATGGCACAATGGTGCAGAAATGTGATACGACTTTATTTATGGAAAATATGAATGTATTATTTTGGTGACTGAATTTTTACAAAGGTGATGTTGGGCAGGAAGACCAGAAACTGTTCAGTGTGGATTTTCTTTCTTTCCCCACCCAAAGCATGAACATATTTAAAGAGCTAGCCCCAAATTTGCCCCTACATAACCCCACCCTGTCAAAAAACAGGTTTTTTAAAAAAACTTTTTAATTCCTGAATATACAAATGCTATAGTTAATCCCCTGCAGAACATGAAGTGCTTCACTTTAATGCTCCAGGACTGTAGGTAAATCCCTGCATTGAATAACAGTGAGCTCTTGGTTTGGGGGGTTTGTTTGGGTTTTATTAATGCCACTTTCTTCTAGCAGAAGGGCAGATGGAATGGCAACTCCAGGACGGCACCTCAGCAAACTGTGGGTTGGATGCTGGGTATTTGTAGAGATAAACTGGAAGTGGCTTTTAGATCTACAGCAACATCCTTCTCAGAAATGTTGCTAATTCTTGTCACTTCCTCTCTTGCTTTCCTTGTGAGAGCCCCACTTTCCCCATTGGTCCTCTGCTCTGTGTTAGCCATTCATAAAATCTGCTTTTAAAGGAAATAGTATCTGAACTGGATGGGATCTTTTTGGGATGATATCTATTGAAAGGAAATGTCACTTTTGTAAGAATGCCAGTGTTTGGTCTAGCATTGAACTTCGCTTCTGAACCTAATGTATTAGGTTTATATCACCACCTATGGCATAACTAGTTCTAATTTCAAGAGAGAGAAGATGAACACTTCAAATCCTTTAAATTGTAATTTGGTGCACAAGTGCCATCTAATGGTCATGTGTAGAACTGCAACTCTGGTTTGGAAACTGCCTATTTTGACTTCCAGACAAATAATGTAGCTCAACTGCAATCTTTCCCCCCCTTTTCTCACAGGTTGTCTGGCGAAAATTGGGTGATGCAGCAAGTTCCAAACCATCCATCAGGCAACACCTTTCAGGAAACCAGTTCAAGGGGCCATTGTAGGAACATCACACTGAAAACTAGAAGCAACTCTATAAAGAATCAGAGAGGAAGAGAGCTCTGTTTCTAGCAGCCAGTTTGGATTTTTTTTTGTAACTGTCTATAGTGTAAATATGGCAGCTAAAGGCTTAGCCTCCAGGCTATGATCTGGAACCAATGTTAAATGGGTTAACCATCCTATAATCGCAGACTTGTGTCACTTGTATTGTAGTGCAAACCTGCTTGGTTGTATGGTCTCTATGTAGAATTACCTAACAAGAGAATTTCTAGGAGGAAAAATGGAACCCTAACCTGGAGAAGTTATTTTGTATTGCTTCTGCCCCACCTGCTCATTAATTGATTCATAACAAGGCTGGTGGCTCTATGCAGCATGTTTTTGGATTCTCCCAAGGAAACAAAAATCTGAATCAGGTGGCTTCTGTCCCTTTACTGAGCTGCTAAAATTTTTTGAAGGTCCTTATTTTTGGAGGATGATATGCAACTGTTTTCAAGAGCTGTCATATAAAATACTTTGTGGGATGATAAAACACTGAAAGCACCTTGTATGTTGTACCGTATTGACCATGACACAGGTCCATAGCAGGTATGCAGAACGGCCTGAGCCTCCATTTCAGCTGCTAGTGATGTGATTTTAATGGAACAAATGATACTGCAGTCATAATGTGAATAATTTTAAGTCATTTAGCCACAATCCAGTATGAATATGGTAACACTTTTCCTGTAAAGCTCTTACTGTTAAATACTTCGGTAAGAACAGCTTTCCCACCAATGTGGCTTACCGTTTTGCCAAGAGAGGTTTCTCTCTTGGATCCTAGTATTTCAGTCTCGACATTCACTCACATAATAAGGATTTGTTTTTTAATGTCCTTGTTGAAATACTGAACTAAATTGGTTACTTCATGATGTAATCAAAGCAACAGCCATTCAAAGCTGCGTAAATGCTATATCAACAGAAGCTGTCAAATGAGGCTGCTGCTGCCATTTAAGCTTTATTTTTGTTAAACCAAAATGGAGTGTTTTTTCCTTCCAACTGCTGTACATAAAAATAATGGGACTTATATTTTGGTATTGTGGAGTAGCTGCTTGTGGAGCTGTAGTAAGAGGTTGACCCCTTTCGGTTCCATCTGGCTCTGTATTTCATGAGATGTTCTTTCCCTTTCCCCCCCAATAGTCTACAGGAAACTGGACTCAGTTAGCAAACCTGCCATTGTAAAATAATCTTAACAATAGGTGCATGTAGATTCAATGCCACCTCTTCAAAAATGGTATTGTTTTGGTGCTTAGTTCAAAGCTTTAATGACTTCAGATGTTGCCACTTTAGAAAAATCAGTCACAGTTACCTAAATGCAGTTTTCAGAGTAGCAGCTGTGTTAGTCTGTATCCGCAAAAAGAAGAACAGGAGTACTTGTGGCACCTTAGAGACTAACAAATTTATTAGAGCATAAGCTTTCGTGGACTACAGCCCACTTCTTCGGATGCATATAGCTTTCATGAGGTTGATGGATTTCCACTCCATACGGCTAAATGCAGTGCCTTGCATAATGACA